GGCGCTCCCAGTGCGGGTCTGACCGAGGGATAGGGAGACGGGAACCGTGCGTGGCACTCCGAGTGTGGGTCTGACCGAGGGATAGGGAGACAGGAACCGTGCGCGGTGCTCCGAGTGCGAGTCTGACCGAGGGATAGGGAGACGGGAACCGTGCGCGGTGCTCCAAGTGTGGGTCTGACCGAGGGATAGGGAGACGGGAACCCCGGGCGGTGCTCCGAGTGTGGGTCTGACCGAGGGATAGGGAGACGGGAACCCCGCGCGGTGCTCCGAGTGTGGGTCTGACAGTCCCTCAGCCTAATCCTGTCCCTCTCTCTCTCCGTTTCGCAGTGCCTCAGCAACACGCCTCCCCTCACTGAGTACTTCTTGAGTAACGCCTACCTCGAGGAGTTGAACCTGGATAATCCCCTGGGGATGCAGGGGGAGATTGCAGAGGCCTACGCAGACATCATTAAACAGATGTGGTCTGGCCGGCACTATACTGTCATCCCCAGGGTGTTCAAGGTAACCCTGTGCTGTCCCTGTCCCTGTCCCTGGCGGGGGTGGGGTTTGGTGTAGAGGGAGCTTTACTCTGTATCTAACCCTGTGCTGTCCCTGTCCCTGGGAGTGTTTGATGTGGGGACAATGTAGAGGTAGCTTTACCCTGTATCTAACCCTGTGCTGTCCCTGGGAGGGTTTGATAGGGGTGGGGGAGGGACGGTGTCGAAAGGGTTTAAGCTGTATGTTGTAGCCCCTCGCAGTGACCTGTCCTTCTTTCCCACTGCTCCCCCTCCCCCAGACCCGGGTGGGACATTTTGCCCCCCAGTTCTCGGGGTTTCAGCCCCATGACTCCCAGGAGCTGCTGGCGTTCCTCCTGGATGGCCTACACGAGGACCTGAACCGAGTGCGAAGGAAGGAGTATGTGGAACTGAAAGATGCAGCAGGAAGGGACGATGAGGTCAGTCGGTGAGAGTCTGACCGCTTGGGGCCGCGGCCCGAGACCCAGGTGGGGTGGTGGGGGTTAGCCTGGCTTCTCTGTGTAGGGGTGGCCCTGTGTGTGTGTGTGTCGGAGACACAGGAATGTGCGTGTGTCAGAGACACAGGAACTGTGTGCACGCGCGCATGTATGAGGTTGTGTGCGTGGGTGAGGTTGTGCGTGTGAGCGTGTGTGTGAGTGAGAGTACGCGCTCCCTGAGGGAATGCCAGCGGTGGGGGTAATGTTAGCGTGTACGCTGTCCCTCGGGCATGGCGACCCTCTCTATGACCCTGTGCGCCCTCCTTTCTGCCCCCCCCCCCCCAGGTCGTGGCAATGGAAGCTTGGGCCAATCACCATCGCAGGAATGACTCCATCATCGTTGACATTTTCCACGGCCTCTTTAAGTCCACGCTGGTGTGTCCCGAGTGCAGCAAAGTCTCCATCACCTTTGACCCCTTCTGCTACCTCAGTGTCCCCCTCCCTGTCAGCACTGAGAGAGTGCTCGAGGTCTTCCTGGTCCCCATGGACCCACACTCCAAACCAATCCAGGTACTGCCGCATCACTGCCCCTCTCTCTCTGTCTGTCTGACTCCCTGTGTGACACACTGTCTCTCTCTCTCTGACTCCCTGTGTGACACACTGTCTCTATCTCTGTGTCTGTCTGTCTCTGCCTGACTCCCTGTGTGACACACTGTCTCTATCTGTCTGACTCCCTGTGTGACACACTGTCTGTCTCTCTCTCTCTGACTCCCTGTGTGACACACTGTCTCTATCTCTGTGTCTGTCTCTGACTCCCGTGTGACACACTGTCTCTATCTGTGTCTGTCTGTCTCTGCCTGACTCCCTGTGTGACACACTGTCTCTATCTCTGTGTCTGTCTGACTGTCTCTGTCTCTCTGACTCCCTGTGTGACACACTGTCTCTCTCTCTGTGTCTGTCTGTCTTTCTCTGACTCCCTGTGTGACACACTGTCTCTCTCTCTGACTCCCTGTGTGACACACTGTCTCTATCTCTGTGTCTGTCTGTCTCTGTCTCTCTCTCTGACTCCCTGTGTGACACACTGTCTCTATGTCTGTCTCTCTCTCTCTGACTCCCTGTGTGACACACTGTCTCTCTCTCTGTGTCTGTCTGTCTTTCTCTGACTCCCTGTGTGACACACTGTCTCTCTCTCTGACTCCCTGTGTGACACACTGTCTCTATGTCTGTGT